ACAGGAATGTGAAAATTTCGATTCCCATTACACCTCAACCACACTCACACTAAGCGGGACCTAAAAGTTATTTATTAAGACTAAACATAATCAGGAGCTCTGGTAAAATTGATTTTTGTTTTGTGGACTGTACATATTGTTTGTGACTTGAATGAAGATGTGAGAGGGTATATTACATTTAGTATTACACTATGACTATATATAGTGAACGCAATAGATAAATATTTAATATTAACACTTACCAATTTGGACCACAGGTGAAACACCTTAACGCTACCTAGACACCTAGCAATACGAAGGCCAATGTAAACTACTGTACAAAATAGGCTAGCGTTATTTCTCCTAGGCATGTAGTAGGGAGCCACCAGTGTCCTTCGATGTTCTCAAATTTTCTTACCTTATTACCGTGGTTTCACACGAATTTGCTTCTCATACTGTAGTGTAGGCGTCACCGCATTATTTTCAGGTCGTCTGAGGCCGCTCCACTCCAATTTAGCCCCGATGACGATCGATTTAATTACAAAGTTTTTGTCACCTGTCTTTTAGATTTCCATTATGGCGTCTTCACCTTCACCCGTCTGCGCGGGTGAGGGTGAAGACGCCAAAATGAAGGTGAAGATCACCAGCAGCACATTTTACACCTTATTTACATTCTTGAAATTTATACATTATAAATTTAGGAAAACTGTCAAATTTTCCACATGTCACTTGTGTCGGGATCGAACCCAGGACCCCCTGATGTGAGCCGAAAGTGCTACAAGTTGAACCAAATGCAGCAGTTAGAACAAAGCTGCAAGTAGTGTCTTTATGAGTGGAACTATTACTGAACAGTTATAACCAGTTTCCCCTATCCTATTTTTTTTAAAGTTTGGCTTATTGATAGCTGAACCAATAATTGTTATAATCAGGAGAGCAAAACCAGGGGTGGGGGTTTAATATATATTTACTCTCATTATATGTTATCCTCTTAAATGTTAATCATTCCATTGTGTCCACCTTAGGTTAATAATCAAAACTAATTCCTCGGTGCTACTTCAGCGTACGGTCTACCAGCCCATTTACACTTTAGCGTGCGGTTAGGTTATTTTAGGTTAACCTAACCTAACCGCACGCTAAAGTGTAAATGGGCTGGTAGACCGCACGCTAAAGTAGCACCAATTCTTCTCTACCAAACTTACTAAAGCCATATAGCATGAACTAATAGAATATTCAATTTTCTTGTATTCATTGTAACTCACCTAATGGCCATATGTACAATTACTGTACTGTTATTGCCTTATTAATTTTAAGTTAGTCTTAAATTTGTCCGAAATGCTCTGCATCTTTATAAAGGGGCTTTTGGCATGTACACCCAATTGTTATACTCCTTTGTACAAACATGTATCATGCTAAAATAAAATTATTATTATTATTATTATTATTATTATTATTATTATTATTATTATTATTATGGGGGCTATCAGACTGGAATAGAGAGTAAGTCTTGTTTCGAAGCAATTGTTATTATTTTTACTTTTATTTACGTAGGCTCAAGGGGCTTAGGGAATTTTGGGGGCTGGCTTGGTGCCGCCACTGCACCAAGACATCATACAGCATATGGGGAAGGGAAGGCAATCAGGTTCGATCCAAGAATGGGAGAGATAGGTTCACTTTCTTGGATCAAGAGCCCTCTTACCGGCATCGAAGCACCTCTCTTGAGACAATAGCTTGGAAAAGCCTTGGCACTTCCTTAATACAAAACATTTCTTGAATTCTATCTTCCCCACTTACCTTTCACTGAATCTTTACTGTCTGTTTATTCGGTTTAGTTTGGCTGTAGCTTTTGAACACCATGAAACTGACTAGTAGTCGTGTCACTCCTTATCCAGGGATTTCATGGGAACAGAAGACTTGGTACCAGGTTTATTCATGTGGGAGCGGTAAACCCGTAGCACTCTAGACCTATCCAACATCAACCAGCCACCAAGGAAAGCGGTATAGGAAGAAATGGACATTTTATTCTAATGTGCAATATAGAGGATTATTATTATTATTATTATTATTATTATATTATTATTAGAGGGAAGTGCTAAACCCATATGGATCACAATGCCTGGGGAGTGGTAGGCAATCAGGTACAATCCAAGAAAGGGGACAAGTCCACCTACTAGGGTCAAGAGTCCCTCACCAACAAGGAGGCATTCTAAAGTAGAATATCAGTTGTACAACCACGTTAATAAGCTTGGGAGGAGATTATTATTATCACAGGAAAGCGCTAAACCTGTAGGATTATACAGCGCATGTGGGGGAGATGGAAGGTATTCAGGCTCAATTCAGGGAACCGGAGCACAAATCCAATTTCCTAGATCAAGAGCCCCTCACCAGCGTCAAGGAACCTCCCTAGAGGGGTTTGGGAGGAGAGCAACAAAATCCCAAAGAACCATGCGGTAACCAGACTGAAGTTCATTCTTGAGCTTCAGACCATTCCAGCCCTGTAGCCCACCTGGGATGTGAACGTCTGCCTGAGGTAGGCACTTAAGCCTTGTTCTGGGGAAAATCCCATCTGCAGGCAGGTTCTGGTAACAAAAACACGATTGCAGTGAAGACCTTTAATTGTACATTGCACTCAGCAATGGTTTATTTCTATTATTTCAAGTACAGGTTCTGAGGAGCTAGTTAACCATTAAGTAGGACCAAGAGGGAAGGAACACTGACCTGGCCAAAATGAGAGCAAACTTGGACTCGTTAGAATACCTGTGCCAAGTAGTAACCTGTAGAAGTGAAAAGTAGAATTGGAAGTGTACTAGTAACTGAGAGAGCTACATGCCACCCCAGAAAAATGATGGACAGAGTACAACAGCAACACAATGAGGAGTTGGGAAAAGCATTTGACCCACAGTCAGTGCAGCTTAAATGACAGCCAGAAACTCCCATGGCAGATGTCAGACCTACCGGTTCCAGCTACATCCAGAGAGGACCAATAAGTCAGGGATGAAACAACAGTGATTGTTTATTACTATTAATTATAATCAAAACCAAGAGCTAAACCACCAGTGTCATACAAACAACGATTGTTTAGACTACCTAGCAAACTGGAAGCCTGATCTCTCCTGTTGTATTCATTACAGGTCGACTAGCTGTTGGAAAAACTGCAACCTAAATCAAAAGTAGACAGCTTGTTTGACCAAAGGAAATGTCCTTTTTGTCAACCACCAGGACAAAAACCTGGGAAAGCAGTGCAAGGCTTGGACTGGCACAGCAGCAGCAGAACCAGAGATCTCGCTAGCTCATCAACCACTAGAAAACATAGGATCTTCAAACCCTAGAAACTAGTACCAGCAAAGGACATGACTAATACCACCGTATTATTATTATAATCAAAAAGAAGTGCTAAGCCACAAGGGCTATACAGCAATACCACCATAGCCCCTCTCAGAATAAAGCATAGGTGAACACATTAATTATGGAGGAAGCGAATTTCTCAGGCCAATGCATTTTGAACCAGGTCACCTATCCCTTTTCTCATAGCACAGCCCAGGAACAGAGTACAGTGCTTCACATTGAAGTGGGGTGGATATCAGACCACCCATGAAAATCTATGCACAACAAAATTCAATGAATTTTAAGTCATTTTCATTTATGTATTTGGCTAACCCATTTAAAAAGCTACCCAAAGTAGGCTATTTGCTTCATATCGCCTACTACTTTGTAATTTGTCCATTCATCTTATACACTTCCTAGATTTGAGTTTATCCAGCCTCAATCCATTATTGCCAGTTTTGGCCTAGACATATCAGTACTTTATGTCCCTCTTTTTTATTCATATTTTCCGTTAAGTTGACATTCCCTTCTTTCTTTGTCTTTATAGAGTGCAAGTTCCATACTCTTAATATTCATAAAGAACATTCCAGATAAAGGAAATTAACTTTGGCTGTAATAACCCTATATGGGTTATGCAGAGCCTGGGAAATGGAGTTATCAAATTTGACCTGAGGAATAGGAGAGTAGCTCCAATTCCATAGATCAAGGGTTCTTTAGCAGCATGAGGACACTTCCCTGTGAAGAATATGTGTATTGATATGATTTATGCTAATCAGAACTTTTAAACCTAATTTTGATTTAAGCCCTGTATTGTTTAGTCCAGGTCAGGTGGGGAACGGGACAAGATAACATTACACATGTTCTGAAGCTAACACTGAACCAGTTAAAAATGTAATGTACTGGGAAGGCTTAGCCAGATTCCAAGTGCAGAATAGAAAAATAGGGAAAATGTATATTTATGGGTGCCTGGAAATAGAAGGCAATCAGATTTAATCTGGGAAGGGGAGGCAGTCTAATTCCTCTTAACCCTTAAACTGTCCAAATGTAGCTCTACGTTTGGACAGTTTAAGGGTTAAATTAAGAGCCCCTCACCAGCATCAGATTATTATAATCAAGGATTAAACAGCACCTGTGGGGGGAGGGGATGTGGAAGGCATTCAGGGAACTGGAGCACAGATCCATTTCTCTAGATCAAGAGCCCCTCACCAGCATCAGAGCCTCTTTTGAGGGCCAAGTACATCTGTGATTTTATTCCCATGGTAGGACACTGTTCAGGGTTCCCAAAGGATAATACATCTGTAAAAGTGACATTCTCTGGATGGGAACCAGCTCTAAAGATTTTAACTTGTACTGATTATTACATTCAAAGGGAAGCACCAAACCCCTTTGAGTCATACAGTGCCTGGGTAATGGAAAGTAACGAGGTTTGACCCAAAGATGGAAAAGGTAGTATAGTTTCTTGTATCATAAGAGAGAGGCTTGGTATAAATGTGACAATGCTACCTGGCTAACCCTGGTTTGACTTCCACATGAAACCATGTTGATACAAATTATTTCCTATGTGAAAGTGAGAAGCAGTTTACATATATTAATGGAATTTGATGTACAGGTAAATGGAAATTACATAGTCATGACTTAACATTTACTATTAACAAATTTTTACCAACTTTTTTAAAGGACAGTAATAAAAAATATACATATAAAATCTCAAATTTTATTAACAACATATAAACAATTATTGAACAGTTAGTAATAGTAATTTACAAAAGTTTGGTGAAGTGTAGTGGGCAGGGTTGTGGGGAGTAGGGGGAAGTCCCCAGCAGTACCCCACCACTCACATATTTGATAACAGTTAATATTTGAGGTCCTTACTTGTATGACTTAGAGCGTAACTCTGTACAAAATGTACACAATATAATACAAATAATGTACAAATAAAAGCCTTATGATCTTGAGCATTTAGTACGTTAGAGAAGTAATCTAACAGAGAGTCGGCTAGTGTTAGTTGTGGCGGTGTATGCAGCGCAGCATGGCCGCTAAGTGTAGTAAGCGCGGTGGGCGAAGTGAGGCAGAGGAGCTCCTGCATATTAAACGTAGGACTCCTCTCCATAATTAGAATGAGGACGTGACTTTCGAGAGGTAAAAGTATCACCCGCCCCCAGGTGATATGAGGTGATGGGGGCACGGTGGGCAGAAGGTGGCGGCGGGCGATATGGAGGTGGATGAACTTTAGCTCCTTTAAGTGTTTCGCCAAATATTGCTCGAAGCTGCGATACTGACCAACTAATTTCTTGCCTGAGCTCAGAGTCAAGCTTACGTAGGTCATGAAGTGCAGCAGGACCTCCGGGGAAGTCTTGCAAGGACGGTGTGGTATGGCAGTCCCACTCTTCCTCTTCTCCATCACCATCAGAGTCAGGGTGCTGAGAAGGGCAAGTCTCACGGGTGGGGACACTTTTGCTGCGGTGAGACGCTGATGAGTCTCGCCTACGAGCTCTGCCTCGACGCTTATCATTATGTGAGTTGGAGTCAGTAACAGATACAGACGTCACATGAGGCTCTACTACCCAAGACCCCGATGTTTGGATACCCTCATCTTTTACCTCATCATCGAGATCATAGTCATCTGTTTGAGTCTCTATACTTTTCTTTTCTACCCTGGGTGGTGATACGGCTCGACTTGTGGTCTGCCTTACTCGAGACTCGGAATATTGAGAATATGCAGAGTCAATTTCAATAACTGTACGTTCTTTAGGCGGTAGTGATGGGGGACTATCATCTGTATATATAATAGTTTTGTGATAAGGTGGATCACATCCATATGAGGTCGGAAGAGAGGTAACAGAGCGGGACTTGCGAGCATGTGTCTCTACATGTACAGGTGGAAGGTGCTTGAGACGACCTAAACCATCACTTACTCTGCGGTTTCCACGCTGCTTAGGAGGTAGTGGTGGTGGTTCAGATTTAGGTGGCAGAGGTGGCGGCCGTTCATATTCATCACTGTCTTCTGCTTGTGCTGGAGAAGCACGTACCAAGTCTCCTGGATAGGTATTTTCTTCTTGATATATTCTCAGTGACTCTTCATATAACTGTTTAGCTCTTGCAGATTTCATTTTTTCCTCTCTTATGGCAAATTCAGGAAAGTGTCCATCTCTACCAGGAGATCCTTGTGCTTGGTGACCTTGTTGTTGCCCACCTCGGAACATGAGAGAACGTCTGCTGAGAGCCTCTTCATAAGACGGAGGGTTTGAGGCAAGAGTTGTGGTACTTCCTGCAGATACAACTGTACACATACTACCCGTCCGCTCACTCTTGAAAGATGAGTTGCGAGAGTTGTGTGATTCACCGGAATCTGAGGGTGTATTCTCTGTGCCATAAACTGCTTCCCAGGCATTAAGTCCACCCCCTCTATATTCTTTTCCTCTGGAATTAGACCGTGAAACATGTGGAGTAGAATCGTCATCACTCAAAGTGGATGAATCATAAGAGCGGTCAGCCTCATCATGTATTTGAGGAGTGGAGCGGGAGCGCTGCCACGCAACAGCATCATTTGATGATGATCGAGAAACAGCCAGAGTGTCGTCTGGAGAGCGCCCTAATTTGTCACCCTCTCGTGCTGGTTCCATTAGATAATGGGCAGACTTAGACCTCCTGATAGGAGACTCTCGACCTCCAGGTCCAGGACAGTTTTCGTTTTCTTCACCCGGAGGTGGTGGAGGAGCTCGACCTTTCCCATGTTGTGCAGGTCTCTTGTTGGCAACACCAACTGGACTTAAAGAAATACCATAATCAAGGCCATTATATTTGTTAAGGAGAGACTCTTCTGATGTGGATCTTACCAGTCCTCCATCACCACTGCTTGAGCGAGATACTCTACGAAGATTTGATCGACGTCGCATCCAGTCGTGCCGCTGGAAATTGGAGTTAACAACAAAGGGGGGAGGGTTAACAATGCTGCCTGATGATCCAGCTGGCACACTGTATATGGACTCCTCTTCTTGACTTTTCCGATAGACATCGCTCATCCTGTCCTGGCGGCTTTGGTAAACTCTAGTGTATTCCTTGCCTTGGACTGGAGGTCCCTGAGAGTATCCAGGTGTAGAATATGTAATTTGTATCCGAGCATGTTCACGACTGGGTGCAGCATAATAATTTTCTGGGTCATCATAGCCTACAGGAAGCTTTTCAGGTCGACGATATACAGCTGCATATATTGCATTAGGATTGTTAGGAGCTGTATAATGTTGAAAGCGATCTGCAGAGCGCTCTGAATGGCCACCACTGCTATAATTGCTGACACTTTTGTCAGCCCCAGAGTGGCCAGAGCTGGTGGACTCGCTCTCTTCTTCATCAGGCGTATAAAGCTGTGAGTCACTCATAGTGAGACCAGAGTCACGGCTCAAGTTGGTCAGAGACATCTTGTCCTTACGAGGCAGCGGAGACAGTTCACCTTCTACAAGCAGCTCTCGCTCTAAGGAGTCAATACTGCTATCATCTCTTCTCATGCCGCTGGAACTGTGCAGACTATGGCCACTGTGAAGGCTGTGCAGGCTGTCTGATTCCTCTGCTCCACTGTCTTGTCTCATGGGATCTCGCTCTGGAGGTTCACCCAATAAGTGGAGCATATCTTCCCCAAATATATCCCCACATCTCTCAATGAGAAACTCTACTACAGCTGGCACCTGTTTTGAGGCCTCTGGACTGAGTGCTAAGACTGGGGAAGATGGCCACAAAATGGATGGTCCAACACACACAGCAAGGTTAGATGCAGACATCATGTTTTCAGAGGCACGTCGAACAATGTGGTACAGCACACAAAGAAAATGCTGAAGAAGGATGAGGTGGGCACGGGGTAGCCGAGAGCACAAGAGAAGAGTCCTCGAAATGCGCTCTCTTAAGCCGTCAATTTGTGACAGCTCCAGCCACTCCTCATATAAATCAGCAACCAGCAAGCAGTCAGGCATAGAACGAAGGAAATCTTTCAGGAGTGCTGCAACAGCCGTTATGTGCACATTGTCGAGGTCAATAGTACCATCTGCCTCATTCATATCAAGTTTCTCCCTTAGTTCCCGAACAAGCCGTGCATTGGCTGACTTACGGAAAATGCCCACTGTGAATGGCCCTTTCAGGAACAGCTGTGACAGCATCTCCTGAAAGAAGAAATGTAACTTTCAATTAGACCAACAGTTATAAAGTTTGAAATGCAATTGACAAAAACACCTGTGAGTTCGCAATTTGTGTATGTCATGTATTTCATAAACATTTTGTATTTTGTATCATCAATATACCTTTTAGACCTTGTGTACAGTACCAATTTCCCTTATAAAGTATGTGTTGGTGTTTGTATTTTTATGTGCTAATGCACATTCCTACCACTCAGAATCTTTCCCCTTAACCCACCCACTGCAACTTTTGCAACACTGCATAGCTCCTGACGAAGCACAGAAGTACAAAAGGACTGGAGCTAGTGATTTCCACCCCATAGTGGCTTTTGTTAAAACACACACACACACACACAATGCAGAGCCAAGAACTGTGACTCAATCCCTACAACCACATACAGACAAGTACACATGCACAAGAATACACACAACACAAATAGTAGAACCAACAATAGGGAAAACAAAGCCATTTTTTAACCATGTTTCAAGACTTACTATTCTCATCTACAGGTCTGAATTTTTTTTTTAACTTTAAAATTACAAAATTTTATAATAAAAAGTATAAATTTCTTTACACCTTTGTAATTCTGAATGTCTTTCTTTTTTCTGAAGAACTGAACATGAGAATATTAAGACTTGAAATGTTGTGAAAAAAATGGCTTTGTTTGCCTTATCATTGGTTCTACCAATGATATTTTAAGATTGCACTTTCCACATAATTACTCAACTGCCGATATATGTGTGTGATACACGTGGAACCTTGACTTACGAGTTTAATCCGTTCCGTGACCTAGCTCGTAACTCAATTTGCTCGTATATCAAATCAATTTTCCTCATTTAAATTAACTGAAATGCCATTAATCCATTCCAGCGGAATTCCTGCTCTCGGGTGGCAGGACAAAATACAGTGGACCCCCGCTTTACGATCAGCTCCCAATGCGACCAATTATGTAAGTGTATTTATGTAAGTGCATTTGTACATGTATGTTTGGGGGTCTGAAATGGACTAATCTAATTCACAATATTCCTTATGGGAACAAATTCGTTCAGTAATGGCACCTGAACATACTTCTGGAATGAAATAATATCGTAAGCCGGGGGTCCACTGTACTTCAATAGTATAACACTAATATCAACTCTACGGCTTATTTATCTATGACAATTGATCTAATACGACATAATAAACAATATAAATAACATAGAAACATGATATATACTTTAGAATGAATAAAATATGTTTTAATGTGATTGGTGGCTCCCATTCCCACTCCCACTCTGACCATATCTTCCCATGCTCTTCTAAGAGAAAACAGTGTTTGTGAGGCTAACTGCACTAGATCACTAGTTTCATAAGGAAAACACTGAAACAATGTATTTATAAATAAGAAATATTGTATAAAAACATAATAAAACACAACAAAAAATGTAAAGAAATAAACTGGTTTTATAAAGTGTACGTACATGCTGGAAGAGCAGAGTATGTTGTCAGTGGCCCTATAAACCCCAACAACAACACTGGAGGAGTTTGTTTCGTTTCGTCCTTTTTCTATTGCTTAATCGCTTAACCTACTTGCTACACTCTTAATGCTACAATTTATCGCTGAACTTAACTGCTACAATTTGTTTATTTTCTTTCACTTCACTTTTCACTGATTTACTTGCTACTCTTAATGCTATAACCCACACCCGCACACCTCATTTGTGTTTATCTATGATTTCATGCTTTAATTCCATGGACATCCTCTTTTTCTTCTCAGCACTGTCCTTTGCACTTACTTTCTTAGGACCCATGGTTAGAAAAAAAAATGGAAAAATAACTGCACAAAACACAAGAGAAATGCTTCCACTGCGAGGTAAACACGTGCACTGCTCAGTGGATGCTGTGGCATTCGCTGCGCCAACTAGTGGCGGCATTCTGAAGCTCGCTTGCTATTATTATAAAGGGGAAGCACTAAACCCGTAGGATTATACAGCACCTGTGGGGGGAGGAGATGGAAGGTATTCAGGCTTAATTTAGGGAGCTGGAGCACAGATCCAATTCCCTAGATGAAGAGCCTCTCACCAGCGTCAAGGAGCCTCCCTTGAGGGGGAAGCTCGCTCGTAAATTGGCTCATAACTCAGAGCAAAAAAATGACCGAGTGACGGCTTGTAATCTTGAAAAACTCGTGTTGGGGCACTTGTAAGTTGAGGTTCCACTGCATGCAACAATGCAAGAACCTGATGTGTTGATTGCAACCAGAACGGCCTAGAGCTATCATTCAACTCCCCTCGTGTTATTTTTCACGCATGCACACACGCTACTAAAAACCTCAATATTTTCCCCTTGCAGCCTTTTTCATATACAGGCTGGCCATCACCAATCTGGTAATCAGTAATTCGGCACTAATTTCAGCTAGCACAATTTCAAATTTCCTGGGTCGCCACACCAACAGGCTGCTACTGTGCGGTGGTGCTACTTTCTGCATAAGTCGTTCAAATTTCTTTTCTCCATCTATTGTTATAACCCGCTCACTTTTGGCCCTAGCCATGGTTCCAGTAAATAAAAGAAATGCTTCTCATTGTGTAAAGTACATACACCATACATTGTTCATAAAAGATAAGGTGACTTTGAAGTCACTGTCAGTCGCCATGAGCTCAGCTCACTCAGATAAGCTGTGACTAGTAAATTTGAACCTACATATGAGAGAATAAGTCTGTGTGCTAAATGTGCACTATATAAAAAAAAATCCTGCAGCACGCAGTGCATAAGAAAAAAAAAACAACAACCGTGAATTTGGTGTAAAACAGCAATTTTCAGTGTACTTTTGTATGGTTTTTATGGACATTTTTTTTTTTTTGTCTCATTTGATAGAATGAAAGATATAATAAAGAAATAGATATAATTTTGATTGGTTTCACACCTGAATGTACCTTAAAATTGAGCTCAAAGAAGCAGAAACGTTTAATTTCTGCGACGTTCAAGAGTAAACAAATGACATCATTGTCCAATACATGTCCACCTGGCTGGTCTAATATGCAGTCACGAATGGGTTGACATTATTTATACAATTATTATAATAGTAATGCAGTAGTCTGCATAACAGTACAACTTCTGTTTTTTGTGACTAAAATTCAAAATGGAAAGTAAGCGTAATATAAGAGGGTCCTGGAGAAGTGACTAATGAACAGAGAAAATATTATTTTAGTGCCAGGAATGTTTGCATTGCTTATTCTGGCCCCTATTTTGAAATTGGCATCTCTTGAAATTTGTGTGAAATTGGACAAATTACCAATTTCTGACCACTTTACTGGGTGGTTGAAATAGGTAAATGGGAGGTTTCCTGTACTCAGTCAACAGAATAGAAGGAATACTAGTGAAACAGTTATGAGTTTGGTAGACTGGAACAATGGAATGGGTCAAAAACAGAGCATAAGAACAGTGAAATCGCCAATGCGTAAATACTGCCATTGGGTTAAGTGTATTCTAACCTAACCACTCTGGAATCTGGCAAAATCATTAATCCAGCACCCTACAGCTCCTGATGATGCCAGATTAGTGATGGTCAACTGGTACTATCATAAAACTTGAGGAATTTTTTTTTTTTTTTTAACAAGTCGGCCAACTTCCACCAAAGCAGGGTGACCCAAAAAGAAAATACTTTCATCATCATTCAACACTCGCCTTATGCACACATAATCACTGTTTTTGCAGAGGTCCTCAGAATACAACGGTTTAGAAGCATATACATATAAAGGTACACAACATATCCTTCCAAACTGCCAATATCCCAAACCCCTCCTTTAAAGTGCAGGCATTGTAATTCCCATTTCTAGTGCTCAATTCCGGCTACATAAAAATAACCAGTTTCCCTGAATCTCTTCACTAAATATTACCCTGTTCACACTCCAACAGCTCATCAGGTCCCAAATACCATTCGTCTCCATTCACTCCTAACACGTTCATGCACGCTTGCTGGAAGTCCAAGCCCCTTGCCCACAAAACCTCCTTTACCCCCTCCCTCCAACCTTTTCGAGGACGACCCCTACCCCGCCTTCCTTCCCCTACAGATTTATACACTCTCCATGTCATTCTACTTTGAGCCATTCTCTCTAAATGACCAAACCACCTCAACCACCCCTCTTCAGCCCTCTGACTAATACTTTTATTACTCCACACCTCCTGATTTCCACACTCCGAATTTTCTGCATAATATTTTCACCACACGTTGTCCTTAGACAGGACATCTCCACTGCCTCCAAACATCTCCTTGCTGCAGCATTTACAACCCAAGCTTCACACTCATATAAGAGTGTTGGTACCACTATACTTTCACACATTCCCTTCTTTGCTTCCAGAGATAACATTTTTTTGTCTCCACATCTACCTCAATGCACCACTCACCTTTTTTCCTTCATCAATTCTATGATTAACCTCTTCCTTCATAAATCCATCCGCTGACATGTCAACTCCCAAATATCTGAAAACATTCACTTCTTCCATACTCCTCCTCTCCAATTTGATATCCAATTTTTCTTTATCTAAATCATTTGATACCCTCATCACCTTACTCTTTTCTATGTTCACTTTCAACTTTCTACCTTTACACACTCTCCCAAACTCATCCACTAACCTTTGCAATTTTTGTTTAGAATCTCCCATAAGGACAGTATCATCAGCAAAAAGTAACTGTCACTTCCCATTTTGGATTTGATTCCCCATAATTTAATCCCACCCCTCTCCCAAACACCCTAGCATTTACAACCCCATCTATAAATATATTAAACAACCATGGAGACATTACACATCCCTGTCTAAGACCTACTTTTACCAGGAAGTAGTCTTCTTCTCTTTTACACACCCTAACCTGAGCCTCATTAACCTCATAAAAACTCTTTACAGCATTTAGTAACTTACTACTATTCCATATACTTGCAACATCTGCCACATTGCTCCCCTATCCACTCTATTATATGCCTTTTCTAAATCCATAAATGCAATGAAAACTTCCCTACCTTTATCTAAATACTGTTCACATATATGCTTCAATGTAAACACTTTATCTACACATCCCTTACCCACTCTAAAACTTCCTTGCTCATCCTCAATCCTACTCTCTGTCTTACCTCTAATTCTTTCAATAACAACCCTACCGTACACTTTTCCTGGTATACTCAGTAAACTAATTCCTCTATCATTTTTACAATTTTTTGTCCCCTTTCCTTTATATAAAGGAGCTATACATGCTCTCTGTCAATCCCTAGGTACCTTCCCCTCTTTCATACATTTATTAAACAAAAATACCAACCACTCCAACACTATATCCCCCCGTGCTTTTAACATTTCTGTCATGATCCCATCAGTTCCAGCTGCTTTACCCCCTTTCATTCTACGTAATGCTTCACGCACCTCCCCCACACTCACATCCTGCTCTTCTTCACTCCTAAAAGATGATATACCTCCCTGGCCAATGCATGAAATTACTGCCTCCCTTTCTTCATCGGCATTTAAAAGTTTCCTCAAAATATTCCTGCCATCTACCCAATACCTCCATCTCCACATCTACTAACTCCCTTACTCTGTTTTTTACTGACAAATCCATTCATTCCCTAGGCTTTCTTAACTTGTTTAATGCGCTCCAATTTTTTTCTTATTTTCATTAAACTCTATCATCTGCTCTCCTTCTGCACTCTCTCACCACTCTCTTCACCTTTCTTTTACTCTCTATATACTCTGCTCTTCTTATAACACTTCTGCTTTGTAAAAACCTCTCATAAGATACCTTTTTCTCTTTTATCACACCCTTTACTTCATCATTCCACCAATCATTCCTCTTTCCTCCTGCACCCACCCTCCTATAACTACAAACTTCTTTCCCACATTCTAATGGATTAATGAAATGTGTCAAGAAACAGCATGAAATTCTGCCACAATGGAAAAAAGACACACAAATGCAATATAACTTGATCCTTTATTGACAACATTTTGCCCATACAGTGGACTTTATCAAGCCACAAACACGTCTATCTAGGGAGAGAGGATGTGTGCATATGTAAACAACAAAGAGTCAGGTGATGTATGTTGAAACTTACTTCTTGGGTAAACCAATGTCGAACAAACCAATGTCAAGGTCGAACAAATGTATGGCTGAGAAGAGGTTGAATTGAAGGACCCGTTTAGCATGGGCCAGTAGGCTTGCTGCAGTGTTGTTGCTATGTGGTATATTGATGAAATTTCTTGGCAAGAGACTCGGTAATGTTGCAGAAGTTGTTGTTACGGTTGAAATTGTTGAATGTGCTGATGAGTGATGATTCCAAGATCTACATATCTTCCTCTTTGGTGATGAGTCATGAGTCTTTGTAATTAAATGGTTGTGGTTATTTTGGTGTAAAACAAGAGGAATTCTTCAAGTCATCCACCCCATTGGTGTATTGGCAGTGTTCAGAAATGTGTGCTTGGAGATCTCTGGACGTTTTGCCCACAGATATTCAGTTGCAACTGTTGTAAGGAATTGTCTATATGCCTGTGGGAGGTTGATCCTGCAGGTGTCCCTACTGATGATTGATTGCTTCCACTACAATCAAGGACATCTTCAGCAAGGGACACCACCCACAGGATCAATCCTCTGCAGGTAAATACACAATCAATTGCAACAATTGCAACCAAATGTAAGTGGGCAAAGCATCCAGTGACCTCCAAACATGCATTTCTAAACACCAATACATCAGCATAATGGATGACTTGAAAAATGCCTGATTTTTACCTAAACTCCCACAATCATTTAATTGCAAAGATGCATGACTCATTAGCAGGGAAATAGATATACAGAGATGCAGGCTCTTGGAAACATCCCTCATCAGCACATTCAACTATTTCCACCAGAACAATGGTTTCTAGAACATAGATGAGGCTCTTGCCAAGAAACCAGTTCATCATTATCCTACATAGCAACAACACTGCACCAGGCCTACTGGCTCATGCTAGACAGTCCTCAAATCCAACCTCTTCTCAGCCATGTATTTGTCCAGACTATCATTAGTCTAGCCAAGAAGTAAACAACATATGTCATCTGACTTTTAATGCTACTATGCTCTCTCTATGTGCTCACATTCTTTCTCCCCATATAGATTTGTTTGACTCGATAAAGCTCACTGTATGGGCAAATCATTGTTAATAAAGAATTGCATTATACTGCATTTGTCTTTTTTCCCTTAATGAAATGTGTTGAAAAAATTATACACTAAGCTAGAAGCACATCTCTGAACTTTGTATGTAAAAGGAAGGGGAAATGGAGGGAGAATAGGAAAAAGAAGAAAAAAGAAATGAAAAAAGAATAAAAAAAAAAGAAAAAAGAAAGACTCACCATGATAGGTTTGGGCAATATATTCTCTGGCTCAACCAGCTTGACGAGGGATTGGCCATACAGAGCACCAGTACACGAGGTAACGTTCCCATCCATGGGCTCCCCTTTGCTGTTAGACCTCTTAAACACCCGGTGAATCCTAATGGGGGATTTGCGAGCCTTCTTAGAGACTTTCTTCATTCCCTCAGGGGACTCGAAGGAGAGTTTCCGAGCCTGTCGAAGGATGAACTGACAGCGGGTAACCAGTTCTGTGTTATACAGGTTGTTACACTGTTCAGTGTCGCAGTCCTGCAAAAGGTCTCTGACGCAGTTGAGTTTGATGGCGAAAGGGTACTCATGGCCTATGAGAGGGTATGGGGAGTCATCAAGGCCAGTTTTGACCCATAGTTGGAATTGAGAGCCATCTGCCCCACCCATCTCCAGGTGATCTAAGGTGAGAGCTACACACTCTCGTGCAGTGGTAGTTGAACTGATGCTCACCATCTTGCTCTGAGGAAGGGAGATGCAGACTTAATATTGTACAAAACAGGTTTGGGTGTGTTATATACAGATTAATATTTTGTAATAGTCAAAAGATTAAAGGACCCCAATGGAAATAAAACTTTACTGGGTTATCCTGGGTGGCTAACTCTCTGGGTTAAAAATATGAACAAATCTTAATTTAACTCTTTTAAGATTTTTGCAAAAACAAGTCCTTGAACTTGTATGAAGTATGTACAGTATAATGGTCTTCTAACAAACTTAATCAATTAACTGATAAACTCTAGAACTGTCTATTTAGCATGGAGTTGCTAATGTAGAGCCACTTCTTAAAAGGCATGATGGATCACTAGCTTCAAAAGTAAGGAGACTTACTTGAAACCATTATAGATAATTGAATTAGTAAGCTCATTGAAAAAATAATTAAAATAAACATGAATTCAAGTTTATTTCATGCCATGGATAGTCATAGAAATTATGAAATTGTTCATCTCAACCTAAACAAGGTATCTGGCTTTGAGACTGCCACAAAATATGCTGATAAAGGAAGTTGCAGTGTATGGTACAAGAAAAAAAAAACAGTACACTAGATTCAGAGTATGGTTAACAGATAACTGAAAATAATATTAAATAATTTACATAGTCATTGCAGATAACTCAATAAAAATACCTATACAGACAAGAGTGAAACTAAATTCAACACTTTCTTTCAACACACCGGCCGTATCCCACCGAGGCAGGGTGGCCCAAAAGAAAAAACCAAAGTTTCTCCTTTCAAATTTAGTAATATATACAGGAGAAGGGGTTACTAGCCCCTTGCTCCCGGCATTTTAGTCGCCTCTTACAACACGCATGGCTTACGGAGGAAGAATTCTGTTCCACTTCCCCATGGAGATAAGAGGAAATAAACAAGAACAAGAACTAGAAAGAAAATCGAAGAAAACCCAGAGGGGTATGTATATATACGCTTGTACATGTATGTGTAGTGTGACCTGAGTGTAAGTAGAAGTAGCAAGACGTACCTGAAATTTTGCATGTTCATGAGACAGAAAAAAGGACACCAGCAATCCTACCATCATGTAAAACAATTACAGGCTTTCGTGTTACACTCACTTGGCAGGACGGTAGTACCTCCCTGGGCGGTTGCTGTCTACCAACCTACTACCTAGGTGAAACTAAATATAGTAGTAATAACAATAGTACTAGTAAAAAATGATGGTGGTTGCATGAATCAAGTTGATATACTTTGCAAAGGATCAAATTTACCAGATTACATACCAACAAAAATTTTGATTTAGATTACTTAATGTTGTATGAAATATTAATGGAAAATTCACTTCAGCATGAATAAATACAATCTGGGGAAAACAGAACAACTATAGCACTTTGATGAGAAATAGCAGTATATGCTACCTCTTTTTCTGTAATAATGCATAATTAAAATTTACCACTCAATAACCTATGAATAATCTTAATTAGTCTGTAAGCATTAGGATCAGTCTGCCCAAAATGCACATGCATGTTAGTGACTTTCTTTGTGCTAAACAATATTTCATTACATGTAAACTATACTCAATACACTACAAAGAAATAAAATATGTTTTATGTTTTTAACAATATCCTGGATTAAGGCATGGCTGACCAAGAGGAAATGCAAATATAATTTACAGTGGACCCTCGGGTAACGATTTTAATCCGTTCCAGAGAGCTTGTCCTTAAATGATTTTATAGTTAGCCAAATTAATTTTCCCCACAAGAAATAATTGGAAATCCAATTAATCTGTTCCAGACATCCAAAAGTATTCAAAAAAAAAATTTTTCACACGAAATATACAATTTCCTACACAGAAAACAATGATACATGAGGAATAAATAATACATGAAGAATAAATGACACTTACCTTTTGTGAAGATTTATTGATGAGTGATGAGATGGGAGGAGGGGAGATGATAGAGGTATATTATTGTTTGGAAGGGGAATCCCCTTCCATAAGAACTTTAGGTACCAAGTCCTTTTCTGGGGTTACTTCCCTTCTTTTTTTAATGCCACTGGGAACAACTTGACAGTCACTGGACCTCTGTCGCACCAAAAATCTGTCCATAGAGCTCTGTATCTGGCGTTCCTTGAAGATTTTCCTAAAATGGCTAACAACACTGTCATTGTAAAAGTCGCTAGAACAGCTTGCAATAGCAGTGTCAGGGTGATGTTCTTCCATAAAGGCTTGCACCTTCGTCCACATTGTACAAATGTCCTTAATCATTGAAGAAGGCAACTTCCTCCATCTCTCTCTCTCTCTCCCCTCCTCTGAAGCAATTTCCTCAGTTGCTCATCAGTGGTTAGTTCTTCATCATCGTCCTCTACCAACTCTTAGACATCCTCCCCGCTAACCTCCAACCCCATGGACTTCCCCAGTGACACAACAGATTCCACAACTGGTATAGGCTCCTCGGGATTAGCCCCAAATCCTTCAAAATCCCTCTCTTTTACACATTGTGGCCATAATGTTCCTCCAAGCAGAGTTCAAAGTCCTGCAAGTCACTCCCTCCCAAGCCTTACCTAAAGGGTTTATGCAACTGAGGATACTAAAGTGATCTTTCCAAAACTCTCTTAGGGTCAATTCAGTGTCTGAGGTCACTTCAAAGCACTTTTGAAACACTACTTTGGTGTACAGTTTTTTGAAATTTGAAATGGCCTGCTGGTCCATGGGCTGGAGGAAAGGAGTGGTATTAGGAGGCAAAAACTTCACTTTGATGAAGCTCAATTTGCCCTGCAATTCGCTCTGGCAAGTCTGGAGGATGAGCAAGAGCATTGTCTAATACCAGGAGGCACATGTGGTCCAATTTATTTTCCAGGAGGTATTTTTTCACAGTGGGGCCAAACACATGATAGAACCAATCATGGAAAATGTCCCTATTGACACATGCCTTACTGTTTGCCTTCCACATCACGCAAATTAGCCTTGACAACACTGTTTTTCTTGGACACTCTAGGAGTTTCTGTGATACATGAGTATAGGCTTCACTTTGCAATCCCCACTAGCATTACTACAAAACATTAGAGTTAGCCTGTCTTTCATAGGCTTGTGTCCTGGCAGTGCTTTTTCCTCTTGTGTAATGTAGGTAACTGTTTGGTATTTTCTTCCAAAACAGGACTGTTTTGTCACAATTAAACACTTGTTGGGGTTTTAATTTTTCAGCGTCTATGTACTCTGAATTCCTGCACATATTTTTCAGCTGCTTTTTGATCACAACTGGTAACCTCACCATGCCTCACCACACTGTGTATGCCACTACGATTCTTAAATCTCTCAAACCAACCTTTGCTGGCCTTAAAACCACTAACATCAGCACTAGTTCCAGGTATTTTCTTAATGAGATCTGCATGAAACTGCCTTGCCTTTTCACATATGATTGACTATGAAACACTATCTCCTGATATTGTTTGTTATTGATCCATACCAATAACAGTCTCTCCACATCTTCGAGTATTTGTGATCTCTGTTTTGTAAGCATACTTGCACCTTTTGCAACAAAGCTTCCTTGATTGCATTTCTGTTGGCCAAGATAGTAGCAATGGTTGACTGGGGTTTGTTGTACAACTGGGCCAGCTCAGAGCCACGCACTCCACTTTCATACTTTGCAATTACATATCTCTTTCTTCAATTCGATTGTACACCTCACTCTTTTTACCACAGGGTTGGCACTAGAAGCTTTCTTGGGGCACATGGTGACTTATTTAACAGTTACAAGCACTAAAAACAATGGACTAATACAAAATGTATCGAATGTATGCGTGGAACCGTCCACAGTGGCTTGTAAACACTGGCACACTAGCTGAAGGCAGGGCAGCTGAGGCGCGCTCAGGCTGGACGGACAGGTGGACGTGTTCGGGACAATTGTCCTCAACCCTTTGACTGTCACGGCTGTATATATACGTCTTACGAGGTACCGTGTCTGACATATATACAGTGGACCCCCGCTTAACGATCACCTCCAAATGCGACCAATTATGTAAGTGTATTTATGTAAGTGCGTTTGTACGTGTATGTTTGGGGGTCTGAAATGGACTAATCTACTTCACAATATTCCTTATGGGAAAAAATTCGGTCAGTACTGGCACCTGAACATACTACTGGAATGAAAAAAGTTCGTTAACCGGGGGTCCACTGTATACTCATAAATTCTAGTGGCTTCAAATCAAGCAGGAGAAATCTGGTAGGCCCACATGTGAGAGAATGGGTCTGTGTGGTCAGTGTGCACCATATAAAAAAAATCCTGGGGCACGCAGTGCATAATGAGAAAAAAAAAACTACGACCGTTTTTTTAATTAAAATGCCGACTTTGTGGTCTATTTTCATATAGTATTTATGGTTGTATTCTCATCTTCTTGGTCTCATTTGACAGAATGGAAAACACATTACAGAAATAGAGGTGACTTTGATTGATTTTACTATAAAAAGAACCTGGAAATGGAGCTCAAAGTAGGGGAAATGTTCGATTTTTACCGATGTTCAAAAGTACACAAATGATGTCATTGTCCAATAATGTCCAACTAGCCATTCTAATATGCAGTCATGAATGGGTTGATGTTATTTATACAATTATTACATTATTGCAGTAGTCTGCATAACAGCAAGTCTTCTATTTTTTGTTTGAATAAAAATTCAAAATAGAAAGCAAGAGCAACATCAGAGGGGCCCGGAGACATGACTGATGAACAAAGAAAATGTTATCCCAGAGCCAGGAACGTCTGCATTGTTCATTCTGGACCCTATTTTGACACTGTCACATCTTTCAATCTTCGTGAAATTGGCCAAATTGCAAACCTCCGACCACACTATCGGGCAGTTGAAATCGGTAACTGGGCAGCTTCTTGCACTCAATCGACAGAAAAAATGGAGTTCCAAAGAAATAGCTATGACTTTGGTCGACTGGCACAAGGGAACTAGCCGAAAATAGGGCTCAAAGTGGGTGAAATCGCCGATTTGCCAACATCGCCGAGGTCGCCA